GCCGGGGGGGCTTTGTGAGGTTGCCAAGTTGGGGAAGGGGTGAAAAATGTGTTTTTTGAGTTGGCCTGGAAGGGAAGGAAAACCAGGCCCATTTGGGAGAAAAATGGGGGGGGGGGGGAAACCAACTTTTTAAAGTTTGAGCCCAAACTTGAAATGGGGCTCCTTAAAAGCCAAGCCGGACACCCATGACTGATAATTCGGCATTCCTGGTTGGTTCAAAGTTGTCCGAAGGAAACAGGAGCAAATGTGGGAAGGGAAAAAAAAAGGAATATTTTATGCCCAAGAAATAGAATGTGGATGTAATGGAAGATCTTTTCTGTTGGTGGCTGCAGGTCTTCCTTCTAAACCACTCTGGAGAAATTCAAATTCTGTTTCCCCTATCTTTTAAAACTACTTTTCTGCCACCCATTTAATCAAGTTTTTTTTAAAAATCAAATTCTGCAGTTCACCCCCCCCCCCTTTGATCAAATTTTTTATTTGGGTCACAGAATGGCACAATTTCCTTTAAACACTGGCTTTATTTTTTACCAGCAGCACAACTATTGTGAAAAATCAATATGATGAAAGTGAATATTGAGTATCTTGAATGACAGATAATTGAAAGGCTTTGGTTGATTAATCTTCCTGCTGTTAAAGTGATCTTTTTAAACAAGCTTGCACATCAAAAAAATGCATGATTTTGCACAGGCATATTGACTGATATTGACCACAATGCAAAAAAAGTTCGTTTGCATTAGCATTGCTTGAAAATAGTGCTATGGCTATTATCTTTATCGTTAGTCATATTTTAACAAAAGTCAGTTTCAACAAAAAGTTTAAAAAATCCCTTAAAAGTCTGATTGTTATAAAGTTTTTTCCATGTTTATCTTTACTATCTAATGAATTCCTCACCCTCACCCACCCTTGTTCAAAACTACCCCATTCTAGTTTTCCTAGTGGTAAATGGTTGTATAATAATTAAATGACAAGACAAGTGTGTTTTATAGATGATGCATCTTATGAACATAGTTTTCTTTAAAAAAAAGCTAATATACATACACTCGGAAATAGCTAATTTGATTAGAACTTCAGATTAAATACTGAATTTATTTCTGAGTGAATGTGAGTTAAAATTCCTTTTACTCTTTTTATTCAAAGGAGACTCCTTTTCCAGGATTTTCCCAAAAGGTATGTTATGACCTAAAATACAGATAACTGAAATTTTGCTACTTGTTTTCACTATTGATATAAGACAAAAATAAGTGCTGATGATTTTAACTTTATTGCAAGTGAATCACACCTCTTAAGCAAATGTTTAATGAAGGGATTTATAGAAGGAAACTACCGACTCAGCAAACATGAATCTTCATGCGTAAATTTGCAATATAAGTTATTTGCCCTGTTACTAAATTAAGACTACTGTTTTAGAGACAAAACAATTGCACATGTGCTTTAAAAAGTAATATTCTTCAATATACTGCCTTTGTTTAAAGTACTCAAAGTTGCACAAAGCAATACAAGAATAGCATCATTAAAAATAAGATAGTATGCCAAAATGTATACTCTTCATAAAACTACAACAAACACATAAAACTGCAACAAAAAGAGCTACAATAAAAGGGACAAAGCTGTTTCCCATAAGAAACAATGGATCCAATAAGTTTGCAGACATTTTAGGTTTCCCTTAGCAGAAACAGTTTTGAATGGCTCTGCTTCATAGATTTCATCCTTAATTATTGAATTCCTTACATATTGCTGACTGAAGAGATGGCCCCATTGCCTCTTTGTGTGTGTGTGTGTGTTTAGGGAACAACTTCAAATACCGAAGTGATTAAATATGGACCAGTATCATCTGAGTGATGACAGTTCACTCCATTCTGAAATTCAGCTCCCTGAATTTCCTGGGAATCAGGCTTTGGACTGTAGCGATACATTCAGCCATGATCTCTGTCCAGATATGAGAGACATGATTTATGCTGGACTGAACAATCTGGATGTGGATCCCAGCCTTTCGACTACAAATATAAACAGCGATTCGTTGGAAGACAACTTGGACACCTTGTCTTTGTACTCTGTAAAGGACTGTGATTCCGCTAAACTCCTTGATGATTGTGACACAGACTCACAACCGCTTTTGCAGGGTGAGTAGTCCAGTGCAGAGTTAAGGTGGCAATATATATATATAAGGAGTATTGTCTTATTTCAGCCGTAGATTCAGGTCTTTTGCCTTATTAAACTTCATATTCTTTCAGCTAAAATAGTTGTCTTTAGTTGGATGTTTTCCCAGAATGGTTGGGATTTCAATTGTCAAGAATTCTCAGCTTTTCACTGTAAAAATAGGACAAGCTGAATATATTAATAGATNCCAGAATCCTTCGGGATTGGGCAGCATATAAATATATTTAATAAAATAAGTAAAATAAAAAATAAATAAGCAGACGGAACTAGTTTATCTGGACTTTATAATCCAGATTGGGCCAAATCAATTTAACTAAACCTCCATCACACCACCCCAACTGAACAAGTGATACCATTGAGCACGGTTTATGGGAAATTTTCGCACACAACACGCTAGTTGTATTTGACTTGGGTTATTTACTTATGGGTAATAGTCTCACTCTAATTTAATTTTGGGTTCACTGAACCCTGAACCAACTACACAAATTGAGTTCATAATACTCAATAGTAGCTAGCTAAATAGTAGGGTTTTTTGATCTTCTAGTATAGGGCTATAATATAGGTGTCACATTAAAGACCAAAAATCAATCGTTTGGGAGTATATTTGACTGAAATAAACATGATATTCTGAACTAAATTGCAGTTTAGAAGCACCCAATAAATAAATATGGATGTGTGTACATGTTGCCAGACCATAATTTGTTTAAACATAACAACTACAATGACTGGATTCACACTGTATTGAACCAAACAAATTATAGTTTAGCATGATGCATGAATCCATCTGAATCCATTAAACCTATTGTCTGTTGCTTTATTGCATATTATTTTATCCAAATGCAATATCGGTTCTAATAGGTTTTGTGCTTGGTAAAGTCTAAACCAGAGCATCTTTCCAGAGGACAAAGGGCTGTGGTGTAAAGTAAGGTGTATTGAAATGTACGTGTAGGGCAGCAGGTATCACACCAAATCCTAAACAGGTTGACCAGGAAATAAATCTGATGGACTAAATAAAATAAATCTTTACTCAATGAAATGTTATTAGAAAATTGTTCAAGTAGTCCAAAGACATGAGCCTGGCTATTTAGAGCAACCCAATTGTGTTTATCAAAATAATTGTAATTTATTGCTTAACAATATAGATTTGTACTACAGCTTCAAAGTTTAACATTTTAAAGCTATTATAAATGTGTGACTAGGTCACTCTACTTTTTATTGAAAGAAACACAAACATAATGTTGATTTTATAGTATTATGGATTCATTACATTTGGCAATGCTGTTTCTGCACGAAATCACTGTAAAGGAAACTCTAGTTTTTATAGTACCTAAACAGAATAAAATGTAGTCTCTCACTTTTATAACCAACAAATTAAGCAAAAGTAATGAAGACAGCATTCATTGCTCCTCTGAAAACTACAGTAAACAAAACGAAACCATAAAAATAAAATGGGACTTTTGGAGTAGTCTCTGCGGATGTTTTTAACTCCGGTCGAACAGTCAAATCAGGCATCATCTAAAAACAAGCATTGTTATCAGGCAGCTGAAAGCACAACTCAGGAAAGGGTCCTTGGCGTACTAATTAAAAACTGGTTTCGCCAGAGAGAGCGCTCCCCTGATTGGCCAAAAGTGAAGTGGATCAGAAAGTAATGGGATGGGCTAAAAGCAGTACTCGTCACTCTGATTAGACAGGTTAAATGTGATTGACTATCGCTGGTAATTAAAAGAGGGTGGAACTTCGTAATGTTTATACTCTGTAATTGGCTGGATTTGAACTGCCTTTAAATTCTGTACTGTATATACACGAGGGAGGGGGAGGCTTAATGTATAAAAAGCCAAAGCTAGGAGTAGAGTGTGGTGACAGACTTCTGTGTCTTTGGTAAAGTAGACTGATGTATATCAGTTTCTCTCTCTCTCTTTTCTCCCCCCCTCCCTCCTGTGTTCTCTGGGAGATAGTTTTACCTAGCATTTTTCACATAGTGGAGAATTAAAAATGGAAGCCTGTAGGAGGAACAGATTGTTATTAATGCTATTAAGTTGCAACCTAATTTTAAAGATTGTGACGTAAAGAATGGTACTCTAGAAAAATCAGTACTGTAATTCAAAATGAAAATAGTTGAATTTTCACTTGATGTCTCAAACGTATTTTCTGGATTAATATGCCCTTGTTTATATATTGCAATTGTTTTTTCTCATCTAGTCCAGGTGTATCAAACTGGCGGCCCATGGGCTGGATGGGTCACGCTGCGCAGAGACAAAAAATGTTGCGATATATCACGTAACGTGATCGAGTTGGCCACCTGTGATCTAGTCTACATATAGAGAAGTTATGAGCTTTCAGGCTACTGAAATCGGGATTTAGGAAATTAGGACTTTGCAATGGGACTAGGCAAGGATGTTGATTGTAAATACAGCGTGCATTTTCCAATTTGAAAATTATTTTAAAAACCAAGCGGGTATATGAACAGCAGCGGGCTGTGGCAGTTATGAAAAGGACCCCAGATTCTGTATCTTGACAATTGGAATAGCACTAGCATCATTTTTTTGAGTTTAGAACTACCACACAGCCATTCTCTCGTTGTTTTAAGCCAGTCCTAATACAGCTTGTCCTGAGTTTTGAATGATTGACACACTGGCAAACATAAGTAGACCACAACATTTTTTCACTGCATAATCACAAGATAGTATTTTACAGTCTGTTAACAGGAGTGTGTTCACACACTCCTATTATCTTTACTTACGCATGTTGTGGATCTGCAAATCTTTCTAGCAGAAGACTCTCTTGCTTCAGATTCAGGCTTTCCTCTCAAACAGCAGGCGGGTTGGTCAATTCCTGTTGCAACCAATGGATCAACACTTGATCTGAAAAAAAGACTCCTGCACTTTCAGGAAACTACTAGGAAAAACCCTTTGGGGAGATCTGTCATCATTTTGGTCACTAAGCAACCGATTGTAAGTTGAGGACTACCTGTGGTTGCATAATTGTCTCTGCTATCTTGACTTATTTGACTCATTGTGGATAGTTTTGATTGATACGGCTTGCTTTAATTGGTGTGTTTACCTTCCCAACTTTTTAGTGCAAATCAAATAAATAGAAATTATACCGGTTGAGAAGGAAGCCACAAGCAATACTTTGTAAAGACCAACCAAACATGGATAAAAATTTGGGTAAGGTTTTTGTCGTCGTAAGTGTGAAAAAGTTGTAAGTCACTTTTTCCCCCAATACCCGTTGTAATTTTGAATGGTCCCTAAATGAACTGTTGTAAGCCAAGGACCACCTGCACTGTGTTTGTTACCCTGAATTTATTCTTTAAAAAGTAATAAAAGGCAGAATGTAAATAAATAAGACATCAGTCCCTAAAATTAAGCAGCATGACCTAAAATAGGGACGCTTTCAGCTAGAACTACAAAACCCTCATTTATTTACCATGTGGCATATTGAGCACATGGATAACAGTAATAAAATTATATAGGATCATGTAATATGGTCCTACGGTGCACGTAGGATGGAAATATGCAGTCAATTTTGCAAAGTTTGAGGAATATAAGAAATTATATAGAAGATATAGTTTTAAACTAGGTGGATTCATAGTAGAATAAAAGCCCCCTCAATGGTGCTTGGTTGGTCTAAGGCAGTGGTTCCCAACGTGGGGCCCACGCCCCACAGGGGGGCAATTTGATTTACTTATTTATTATTAAAATTTATATGCCGCCCAATCCCGAAGGACTCCGAGCGGCTTACAAAAAGAAAAGAGAAAGAAAAAAAATAAGAAAAAGACAGTTTAAAATCACAACACATGCATTCCTTGATTTTTAATGGGGGCAATTTGAACCTTAGCAATAGCAATAGCAGTTAGACTTATATACTGCTTCATAGAGCTTTCAGCCCTCTCTAAGCGGTTTACAGAGTCAGCATATCGCCCCCAACAATCTGGGTCCTTAAACCTTGTTTTAAACCATGTTAATGGCCTTTTAGGCCTCCTCCATGTTGACTAGTTCACTTTTTTTGAGTAAAGTAAGAATTATATATATTTTTTTGGGGGGGACATCAGGATTTGAGAGATACTTAGATGGGGCATGGCCAAAAAAAGGTTGGGAACCATTGGTCTAAGGGAATGAAATGGGTTGGTACCACAAAGGAAAGCCAGACCCAAACAGGCCGTTCCCACGTGTGCTGAACCATCATCCCCACAACTGTTCGGGCTGCTTGGGGAGTACCATATATTATAGAACTATACAAAGTGGCTCTCAGGCGGCTCGATTTTAACTAATTCGGCAACCTCGCACTCTGGGACTGAGGGAAAGTTAGGCGCCTCAGGAATGAATATTGCAACAACGCCGAACTGTGAGGAAGACACACAACCGTCCCCCCGTGTTTTTTTTTTCCCCTCTCAAAAATCCCCACAGGTGTTTCCCTCATAAGACATCTCCTCCCCCGCGTCCTCTTCCCTCACGGCCGGATCCCCTCAGGCAGCCCCCTGCCGGCTTTCCCCGCGCGTCGCTTTCGCGCCTTTCCCTCCCTCCTCCCAAAATGGCGGCGCCTCTGTTCTTTTTTTCCCGCTCAAAAAGAGTTGAAGGAGGAGGAGAAATAAAACACGGAAAGACAAAAAAAAAAAAAAAAGGTCGAGCGAGCGAGGGGCTCCGCCCCTTTCTCCCTCCCTCCCTCCCTCCCCCCGGCGCGTGGGCGGCCCCTCGCCGTCCGCGGGCGGAGGAGGGGAGGGAAGAAGGCGGAGCCTGCGCGCTTGTCGCTCTCTTTGCCCAGCCAGCCCGAAGAGAAGAAGAACGAGGACGTCGACGGAGGAAAAAAAAAAAGGGGAGGGAGGGGCCGGCGCGAGGCGACGGGTAAAGCCAGTCGCTGGGTTTGGCTCGCTGGCTCCGCCCCGCGCGCTCGCCTTTCGCCCTCCTCACCGCCGCCACCACCCCGCCCCCTCCGAAAAAGGGGCGGTCCCACTTTGGATCTCTCCCCTCCGTTTCTTTTGGGGGAGACGCCAAACTTCGCTCCGCCCCCTTCAGGTGCAGATGCAACCGCCCCGCCCCTCAAACAGCTCCCTTTCCCCTCCCCCCCCCTGCGTCTCTTCAGGGACCCCCCCTCCCTTTCCAAGGGTGGGAACAGCCCTCTCTGCCTTCCCCCCCCCTCTCCG